GAATTGGAAACAAAACGCTAGTCCAATGCAGCTTTTTTAAGCAACTTAAATTTTCGGATAAGAGAACATTATAAATTTGCTTGATAAGAGAAAAAAATCGATAGAAACCTAATATTTGTAGCTCACAGTTGTTTTCGGAATCCAAAGAATTAAAAGATACTCGCCTAGCTAGCGTGGCTTGGTGGTCTAGGGCAGGGGTCGGCAACCTATTGAAACGGAAGAGCCAAAAGTTACAATTTACAAAACTTTCCAGTTTTTAAAGAGCCACTAAAATTTTTCGTATCAATATTATGATATTTGCTTATATATATTTGATTTTTGATTTAAAATAAACGGCTTTAAATACGGAATAATATTTATTCATATAAAACACAAATATAGATAGTTACATCAATGGGAGCATTGGCTTTGCATGCCTTTTGAAAGTTTGATTAAATCTGACTTATAACTTGTTGTTTTAAGTTTCAAGCACGACTCTAGATTTTTATTTGTTAGTTGGCTTCTAACTTTACTTTTTATTATATTCATGCAAGAGAACGCTTGCTCGCACGAATATGTCGACCCGAAGATCGTCAGCACTCCATATGCCAACTTCTTCAACTCACTGTAGCATTCTGGAAGACTATTCCATGCGCCTAATATGAGGGCCTCAACTCGCGGAATTTCTTTTAGAGCTGTCCACTTTTGCTGCGCGATGTGCATGCATTTCTGGACCTCCAACTCTTCCAACTTGCTCTTGAGTTCTGTGAACTTGCCACTCCACAAGTCTTTGGTTTTCAAATCCAGCAATTGCATTTGAAGCGATCCAGCATCAATTCTAAATGGCTCAATGTTGATCTCATTTGTATTTGTGTTGAGAGGATTTACTATGAACGCGTTTTTACTATGAACGCGCGAGAGTACTTTTGTTTGTTTTGAATTGCTCGAATCTCTCAGCGAATCCATCCTTCATGTTTTTTAAAGCTATGCTGAAGTAACTCGTGTCAATAGTTGCATTGGTCTCATCGCGATATTGCTTCAGATTTTTAAAAAGAAGTAATTTTTTTTCGAAACAAACTACTTCTTCAAGCAAGGCGTAGGCTGGGTTGCCCTTTCCTTGCAGTTTTAGATTTAGTTCATTTAGTTTCATTGTGGTATCTACCATGAAGTTGAATTTTTGCAGCCATTTGTCTGCTTCCAATTCGGGATGGTCAATGCTTTTTTCATTGAGGAATGTTTTTATTTCACTCAAGCACAAAGCAAAACGTTGCAATACGTTACCTCTGGAAAGCCATCGCACTTTATTATGCAAAAGTAGATCAGAAAACTTGCTATCTATTTCTTCAAGGAAATCTTTAAACTGGCGATGGTAGAGTGCTTTTACAAGATGCTGTTAATAATCTTAATTACCAAGTTCATGACCTCAACTATTTCGGCCAGAAATGTTTCGGCACAAAGCGCTTCTTGATGAATTATGCAGTGAAACGTTAGAATTTCGTGGTTTATTTTTTTCTGAAGAATTGATGTTACCCCTCTATGTATTCCTGTCATACTTCTGGCTCCATCAATTGCTGTAGAAACGGTTTTATTTATATCGATTCCATTGTCTTCTAGGCATTTTTGCACAGCATTTGCTATATCTTCTCCATGAGTTTGCCCTGAGAGCGGTAGCAATCCTAGCAGTTCTTCTTTTGGACCTTGGGACGACATATACCTGACAAAAAGGGTAACTTGTGCCGTGTCTTTTATGTCGCAAGACTCATCTATAGCAAGTGGTAAGGCAGAAGCCAGTTGAATGTCTTCCATTTGCATATGTGTTACACTTTTGTGTTTGTTTGCATGTGTGTTGAAGACATTTTAGCAGTTTTATCTTGTATTGTTTTAGCAGATAATGGTAAATCTTTGATTTTTTTTCATGATTTTTGCTTTGTTCTTAAAATCACGAAACAGTTCTTCAGATGCACGTATAGAACAATCTTTGACGTACTCACCATCTGTGAATAGTTTTCCTCTTTTTGCAATTTCTAATGATACAAATCTTGCTAGATTTGCATTATTGGAAGATTGCGCCCAGTTACTTAGCATGGAACTTGACTGTTGTTGTTTTTTCTTGGAGTTCTTCACCAGCTTTTTTTCGTGCGTCACCGGTTGGATATTTACCAGCAAACTGGGTATGTTTTTAGTGAAGTGTCTCTCCAAATTTGACTTCTTATAGTGTACGAGTTTTTCGTGGCAAACGAGATAAGTCGGAAGGCCATCTGTGTTGCATATAAATGCAAACGACTCCGTCCAATCCTGATTGAATTCTCGGTTTTCTTCTTCAGTTCTTTTCTTTTTTTAACCAGAAAACATGCTGGCGGCGGAGCTGAAAAAATGATTTTTTTAAAATTTTACTTAGCTATCTAAAACGACAGACAATTTATTTACCATTATTACTTCGTTAACACGATCCTCAGATATGTAATCCAATTCTGTTACTGATTTTATTATATTATACATGTACATACCTTTGAGAAGATAATTCGCTTCTAAATCGTATTCTCGAAACAACAAGCGAATAGACGCGCAAAAACCGCAAGCGATTAAATGAACACACATGCAACGTAACGTCGACCGCGTTATCCGAGGATGACTGACTGATAACACGTCTAAAGTCTAGACGTGTTGTCTAGACTCTAGACGGTGGCTGTTTGGGTGAGACGGAAATGGAATGCAATTGGCTGAAAGATAAACATGGTCACAGAGTTTCATCTCTAAGAACAACACAATAGTTCAAATTTATCTCATTACGGTCATGTTAAGCGTAGCGATTTGTAAATAACGATTATGAAAATAGAAGCTATTGAGAAATTAGGTACTTAAAAATATATTTTCTTATTTTTTAAGGGTTTTGATAATAAATTATAAATTTTTTGGTTTGGAACTGGAGAGCCGCAACTTTACATCAAAAGAGCCGCATGCGGCTCGCGAGCCACAGGTTGCCGACCCCTGGTCTAGGGGTATGATTCTCGCTTTGGGTGCGAGAGGTCCCGGGTTCAAATCCCGGCCGAGCCCATCGGAATTTTTTTTATATAGCTCCCACTACATTAATGTGAAAGACAAAATTAGGACTTGAATATTCTCCGCGCTTGCTTATACAGGGAAGTTCATCGTTCTATCGTTTTACAAACCTTACCTCCACTTTTGAGGAAGAATCGTAAAGTAGTACCAGAGTTAAAAGAGGAGAAAAGTGATGGGAAAGCTGAAAGTTACGGAAGATTTGTTTAAGTGGAATGATTCGACTTACTAACGGGTCTATTCTGGTACCCTCGGTTGGGTTGGGAGACGTCACTTTTCCCGTTCTTAACGTGCGGAAAAGGTGACGCCCCCCACCCCAACCGAGGGTACCAGAATAGACCCCTAAATCTACAATCCGTCGCATTTTGTCGGACACTTCGCTACTTTAAATTCATGATAACTCAATCTGCCAAGTTGTCGGGCGGCAACAAAGTAAGATAAAGAATGCAAAACGTTAGTAAGTAAGCTTTTGATTAACAGTGGCGTAACTAAGGTGGGGCAAGCGCCCTGGGCGCAATTGCAAGAGGGCGCAACATTAAGGAATTAATTGATTGTATTTATTATAAAAGTAGGATTTTTTGAAGCTCTTATTCCCAAGATTCTGAAAAATTGAAATAGTTTAAGTCAATAGTAAGGATGGAGTCCTTTTTACAACACGGAAACCTCAAGCTGCGACAAAATAGCAAGTAATATTATACTTCAGAGATTTTCTGACCGAAACCCTCATTGCGAAATTAAAAACTCGTTTAGAGCTTCCACCCTACCGGGACAAAAAATTAGTTTCTCGATGGGGGTGAGAAATAACGGAAGATGGTTAGGGATAATTATCTCCTCAGGGTTCCTGTTTCTTTCTTCTGACCCGATGGTTCCTATGGTTTTTCTCGGTATGCATGCTTCATGCTGAATAATTGTCAGCTTCTTCGGAAATTGGTCATAAGCGGTTAGCAGAAGTGTCATTCCCATTTTCAATCAGTAAAGAATGAAGAACGGAAAATATACCTCCATCTTTTGCGTAGTGTAAGTGCTCTCCAGAAAATTTAAAAAGACTTAAGTTTGCTATCTTTGCATTGTTTTTAGTTCTGAATATTTGCATAACTTGTATGATCAAAATGCCATAATGTTTATTTTAAATTTTTATTTCGCAAAATCTAGATGCAATTGTTCTGCCAAACCAAAAAAAAAAAAAAAATTGAGAGAGAGAGAGAGAGAGAGAGACAGCATAAAGTTTTGCAATTGCTGGTAAAAATTAAACAGATCTTGCAGACCTTGAATTGACATTGAAAAAAATAATTAATTGATTTTCGTTAAAATGGCAAAGATTTTCTAAAAGAATTTACATTTACAATGCTAAAGAATTAAATAAGCATGTAAGAAGATTTAAATTTAAATTATGAAGTATATCTCAGTTTCTTACAAACTTTGAATTTCTTATTTAAGCTATATTTAAGGGATTAAGGTTAAAATGCACCAAATCTTCTGTGAAAATTCAACGAAATTTTGTTAAAAAAATCTGTAATGTGTAAATCCTATCAACTAAAAAATGTTTTATAGTTTATTTCCACTTTTAATCATTGCACTCCCCGGCATAAAGTTTCCGAAAAGAAAATGAGGATCACATTTCAAAAGAAAAAAAAAGGGGGCTCAGTTTCGGTATTTGCCCTGGGAGCTATTTTATGTAGGTACGCCACTGTTGATTAAACGAAGTCACAAGCATTCTGAGTAAAAGCTAAGCAAAGGCGTACGTGGCTCGGTAGGGGTATGTTTCTAGCTTAGGGTGCGAGAGGTGACGGATTCAAGTCCCGACCCAGTCCATCGTCTAAAGATTTTTGGGAACGATCAAAATTCGCATAACGGAAAGAAGATAAGCAAGTGTTAAAAAATAAACGGACTGTTGTTCCTAACTATGCTTTTGGTTAAGAAATTAAAGAACACCGTGAAAAGAAAAAATAAAGCGTCTTGCATCTGGCTCAATGGTCTAGAGGAATGATTCTTGCTTCGGGTGTGAGAGGTCCTGGGTTGAAATCCCGGTTGAGCCAACATTTGTTTATGAAAAATCTTTCTTTTCCGAGCGAATAGTTTTGCTCTATGGTCATATGTTTGTATGATATTTATTCAAGTGCGCGTTTATTTTTTCCGTCTTGGCAAAAAAAAAAAAAAAATCACAGTGATTAAGGAACTTTCAATAATTCTAATAGACACATTTCATGGAAAATTTAATAAAAGACCTTTGCTTAAAGAAGATATTTATAACTAACCTGTATTCAACAGAAGACCACAAACGTCAAAAAGATGCTCCAAGAAGATTTTCTTTTGAATTCATCAGAAACGAGAATAATTTTCTACAGAATTTCTGAAGATGGCGGAGAAAAGGCGCTTTCCTAGAATGAATCTTAGCAATAATGACTTTGGACATTGTTTAGAATTCAGTAAAAAGCATTGTTTAAAGCCGTATCTCTAAAATGAATTGGAACAATAGATTCTCCACTTCTTACAACGCTACGTTTTATCGCAATTAATAATTTAATAATAAATAGTGCTTTCAATTGTTAAAGCTTTTTGTAATCTTTTTTGAAACGAAGATTGATAGAATAGGCTAATTTTAGAAAATTGAAGCCATCTGACAAACAGAAAACTTAGATATGCAAAAAAAAATTTGGCAAACTTCTGATTTCTAATTCAGTTAAAATAATGACAATATTTTGGAATGCAAAAAGGGTTCATTCACATCGACACAAATTCAACCGTTATATGAAGCTAATAATATTAAACTTGTGGCCATATAAATTTACGAAAACAAATCGAACAGTTATTTTGTTGTTATTTCGGTTGCGGAAAGCCTTTTCCTTGACGATTAATTTTAAAAGACATTGGATTATTGAGAATTCAGTTAGCAAATATTCTTAAAAAAGAGAATGTAAAATAAACGAATTCATATTTGCTCGTTTATATGTAATGTAGCAGTAAAATGTCACTTAAGGGGGAAATTTTGAAAAATCTAGGCCGATAATTACAGGAAAAAAATAGAAAAAATGTTCACATACATTTCCAAACATTTGAACTAAATATGCTTTTATTCGAAAACATTAATTTAGTTTGAAAATGCTATGTTATACTGACCATCGAGAATATAAATATAAATCACTTACTTTGTTTTTTTTTTAAAAAAAAAAACAGACTTTCAAAGCTTAATATACTTAGAGATCTCAATTTTTTTATTGCATTAACCTTGAATTTTGGTGTTTTTTTGCTTAATAAACTATTGCTAAGATTTGGCGGTTTTTGTCTGTGGTTCGGTTAAAGTATCCAAGATTACATAAATCAGGGAAACTGTTAAAATTTTTGAATTTGTAAATAGTTACATAATCCTTGCCGTCTACTGACTTGAAAAATAAAATAATTTTGTTCCTCGTTTTACCACTGAGCTGGAGAACAAAATGTACCGAACTTATAGAAACTCTAACAGGCAGAATCCTCTTCCCTCCATATTCTAGCGCTAGAGATACTAGGAAATCCCTTAACATTTTAGTCTTTTGCGAGATCATGGACTTATGGGGTCGTTCCGTTTCTGCTAGAAAGATTTGGATTATAACAATAACGACAAAATATGTTGTGATTCTTAAATTATTTATTTATTTATTAATTATTTATGCATTATATTTAAGCATTATATTATATAAGCATAGCATTATATTATACATTTATAATTAAGATGGACAAAATCACCATCAGATACAAACTTTTTATGCAGCTAGAACTATTCTGAACTGAAGAACACAACTGTGGAGAAATGGACAATCTCTGTCTGAAATGCGGAGGGTTGTATTTCCGGGATGAAAAGAATACCAGAGGAATTTACACTCATTGTTGTCATAATGGAAATATAATTGAGCAGGCTTCAGTTTATCCAGTGGAAATGAAAGGATTGATGAATGGCTCCGATGAATTATCAGTGCATTTCAAAAATAACATAAGGTCGTACCAGTGCTTCAATGGGTGCACAGATTGCACCGTCTAGGGAGAGGGGCGTATTGCTTCAGAATTCATGGCCAAATTTATCACAGGATCTCTCATCTACACCCAGCTGAAGCAGGAGGTGAAAACTATAATACAATACACTTCAACAATATTATAACACACTTTAGGCATGTGTCACGTGACCTCAGGTATTATTCGATTTAGCCCGTGCAACGCCGGGCCATACAGCTAGTAATGACTTTAAGACTCATATGTAATTGAAGCAGTGGCGGTGAATAAGGGAGGGGGGAGGTTGCTCCCCTACTTTTTTAGGGAAAATTATATTTTTATTTCTCTTTAGTTCTTTAAAACTAGGAATTATAAAAAAGCAATAAATTCGGAAAAGCTAGCAAATTTTGTAACAAATTTTTTTAAATTTGAGATTTACCACCTATACTCCCGGGTACTTAAATATCAGTAAATTTATTGCCCTCTCACTTTTTTAACCCAATCGCCGCTACTCAGTTCTAGATTAAATTGGATCTCCAGTCAAATAAAGGTATTAATAAAAAAAAGAGTTTGAGGTTTTATTTATTTTTAATTTATTTTTCTTGGAATTGAATTAAGATATTCGACGTTAATGATTATATTATGTATATCCATCGCCAATATTAACCTAGTCGTTTGCACCTCCATTTTCGGAGTTTAAAAAACAACTGCAAAAAAAGTTTTGGAGAAAATATCTAATTTCTACTGAAACATTTCAGTGGTGCATTTGCTATCAGAAAAAATGTCAGTGTTCATCAAATATCTTCTTAAAAATAATTTGATATTCTTAAAATAAATGAGAGCGCTTCAAAAAAAGAGTGCTGTGTGCTAATTCACAGAAAGTCGCCTCATCACCAACATCGTATGAATAATTAATTAAACAGCCAATAAAATATATAATAAATAACATCCGTATTGTTGCTTTGCTCTGTTTTGGCGATGACCAACTTCATAAGGCCTTGGCATACTTAATATACTTATTTGATTTAAATATCGAATATGTGTGTGTTAAGAGGTCACATTGTTAAATTAACAGCCCATATTTTTCCTTGGCGCTGTGGTGTCAATGGGGCAACTTGGTGTAGCCTGGCGAAACAGAAGTACAGGATTCTACTAAATGAGATCTAATTTGGGGTGAAACTTGAACAGTGGCGTATCTACATAAAATGGCGCCCAGGGCAAATACCGAAACTGCGCCCCCGCCTTTTTTTTTTCTTTTGAAATGTGATCCTCATTTTCCTTTCGGAAACTTTATGCGGGTGAGTACAAAGATTAAAAGTGTAAATAAACTTTAAAAATAACATATAAAACATTTTTGAGTTGATAGGATTTACACATTACAGATTTTTTTTAAACAAAATTTCGTTGAATTTTCCTTGAAAATGTGGTGCATTTTTACCTGAATCCCTTAAATATAAGCTTGAATAAGAAATTGAAAGTTTGAAAGAAACTTTAGATATATTAGAAATTTATAAATAAATGGTGCATTCCCATTTATAAGAAAAATATTATAAAATGTGCACAAATCTTTTAATCCATTGAAAAAAACCACACATATTAATAATAATGGAAAAAATATGTACATTACTTTTTTTCCCATAGTCAGTATATAAAAACTCTAAACATTGAAGTAAATGTTTTGCTAATACAGATAAAATCATACAAAAAACCTTAGTGACTAATATATTTAATAATATTCACAATATAATTCATCATATAATTTCACATATATCTTTAAATTCATTAATCAAAATTTACAACTAATAAAGTTAATGTTTTATCTAACGTCTTATGACGTACTTAAAATTCATTACATGTAATTAGGGGATACGCTATTGCAGGAAAAAAATGCAGATTCAAGCATGAATTAAAATTATTACGTTATTAATTTATTTATGACGTGAAAAATTGTACTTCCTTATTATTTTAGTAGACAAGTAATAGAATTATAAAAGTGTAATTTTATAAATTTAGATACATTCATTTTATGCAGTGTAAAACTGAAGTTAACAAAATTGCCATGAGGAATTTCGTATTTTATAATTAAATCAGATTAGAAGATAAAAATTTTTAACTTTATAATAGTATAATAATTTAATTTTTTTTTGGATTTAATGTATTTTGAAAAACAAACGGAGGGGGGGGGGAACTGACAGAAAAGTTATAAGTCTGCTTGCTGGAACGAAAGTGGTGAGATCAAAATTCTAGACGCCGAAAGTTTCATGGGCAAATACATTATTCCAGATTTTATCGTGTCTAAAGCTTGAACTAGACATCTTAATTATAATTAAACATTAAAATTGAAGTAATCAGTCTGAAATTTAAATTTAGAATAAAATTATCTGAAATAAACGAAAATATATACATTATCGACATTCCAAAAGAACTTCAGGCTTGGGCATGACGATATCATTTCTTAGAATTAATTATCATCGTGTTGAGGATAATAATCTTCAAAACTATCTTTTCGCAACATACAAAAGAAAAATATATGGAAAAGCCATAATTAATTTATTTGAAAATCATTTTTTGAGGAAAACATCTGCTATAAAAGTAGCAGAATATTTGAGATATACTTCATAATTTAAATCTTCTTACGTGCTTATTTAATTCTTTAGCATTTTAAATGTAAATTCTTTTAGAAAATATTTGCTATTTTAACGAAAATTAATTAATTATTCTTTTTTCAATGTCAACTTAAGATCTGTTTGCAAGGTCTGCAAGAACTGTTTAATTTTTACCAGCAATTGCAAAACTTTATGCGGTATTTTCTCTCTCTCTCAGTTCTTTTTTTTTTTTTTTTTTCGTTTTGCAGAATAATTGCATCTAGGTTTTGCGAAATAAAAATTTAAAATAAACACTACGGCATTTTGATCATACAAGTTATGCAAATATTCAGTACTAAAAACAATGCAAAGAACGTCTTTTTAAATTTTCTAGAGAACACTTACACTACGCAAAAAATGGAGGTCCGTTCTTCATTCTTTGCTGATTGAAAATAGGAATGACACTTCTGCTAACTGTTTATGACCAA